ATATCCTGACATGGCACTTGTCTCACTGGGCTATGGTCACCCATCTCCTGGACTCAGGTGTGAGTACCTTAAGGGCAAAGACCTCAGATTATTCACTTTTGCATCCCCAGCCTTGCCTTGCACATAGTAGGCCCTCCAAGAATAACTCCTGGCTAACTTACTAAATCAATGAGTTCTGTTCCCTCCTCCTTCAACTAATGACCATAATGAAGGGCTCCAAGAGACAAATGAGCAAAATCCAAATTCTCAACTGAGTGCCAAACCAAAATCCTGGTTTTTTTCCCCAAGCATCACAATTCTGGTTTAAAAACCAAGTCACCTGCATAGAGTTTTGGTTGTAAACACTGACCTCAACTGTAAAAAGAAGTCCCCTGAGAGTAAACAGTGTCCTACAGTGAGGACTCACACCCCATACAGCCTGGGTCCTCACTACCTGCTCCCCTAAATCCCATCTGGCTAAGACAGAATGGGTTTGTCCAAGGGTTTCACAGCTTCATTTCATTTTGTGCTGGCAGCAGGCAGGCGAGAAAGCTGTGATGACCAGGATGCTATTTTATCAAAGCTTCAGGATCTTGAAAAGGGGATCAGAAAGATAATAACATTCCTACCATCTTCCCCAGGGTGGGGCTGCCCTTCCTATGGAGGATAAAGATTTGGGCTCACCTGAATGGCTTATAATTTCCCTTTTTTTTATTAAAAGATTTTATTTATTTATTTGACACAGAGAGAGCCAGCTAGAGAGGGAACACAAGCAGGGGGAGTGGGACAGGGAGAAGCAGGCTTCCCGCCTAGCAGGGAGCCCGATGCCGGACTAGATCCCAGGACCCTGGGATCATGACCTGAGCCGAAGGCAGCCGCTCAAAGACTGAGCCACCCAGGCGCCCCTCCCCTTCTCTTCTGACCTATCTTCTTCCCCATTTTATATGCCATCTCATTCTCAAAAAAACATTTGAGATGATTGTCATTGTCTCTTCAGGTCTATATCAAGGACTTTTATTAAAGAAGGGACTTCCTAGTTGTACAATCTTGGGCAAGTGACTTTCAAGCTTAAGCCTCAGTTCCCGTATCTGTAAAATGGGGATAATAATGACCAAACTGGATTTTCTGTGATTTTTAAATTCCATAATATATGTGGAGAACTCAGCCCCATGCCTGCCACATAGTAGGGGCACAGTAAATGAAAACTGTCTTTACCATAAGACCCAGAGAATGGCAAAGTTCTGAAAGGGGACTTTCAGGAACAAAAGAAAAGAGGACATTGGAGTTTCCAGGAACTATCTGATAGAGAATCCAGAACTCTGCACAAGGGGTATGGGCATGGGGACCTCTGAAATTTCTAGAGTTTGTAATTCTCCCAAGTTTGTCATTTTCTCCTGCAGTCTTACTTTATTTAGAGCAGTAGTTCAAACCTTTTGATTTTTATTTTATTTATTTATTTGACAGAGAGACACAGCGAGAGAGGGAACACAAGCAGGGGGAGTGGGAGAGGGAGAAGTAGGCTTCCCGCCGAGCAGGGAGCCTGATGTGGGGCTCGATCCCAGGACCTTAGGATCATGACCTGAGCCGAAGGCAGACGCTTAACGACTGAGCCACCCAGGCGCCCCAGTAGTTCAAACCTTTAGATGAAAAAGGCCCAAGTGCTTATTTGGCAAGTTCATTTTGGGGGGAAGAGAAAAAAGCTCTAGGGGATGGGGGAACAAGGCTTAACAGACCAGCTGGAATGTTTGGGGGCCAACAGGAATGAAGAGAAGGACATTCAGAGATCCCTGGAAGTCTCATTCTGAGGAGTTCTGCAACCCCTCAGACCCGAGCAGACCGTTCCTCATTTCCTCCCTGCTTTTCACAGTGCAAGCACCACAAGCTCTGCCAGTTTGGGGAACACTCTGCTCAGGCTCTGAGTGGTTCCATGGCCCTGCCTGGTGTAACCTGACCCACACACCCAGTCACTGGCATATTTAAAGGACACCTGATTCTTTCTGTGACAGCGTGGTTACCCTAAACCTCCAAAGACATGGCTACAAAGAAGAGAATCCCAGCCTCTGGCTTCAGTCCATACACGAATAAGTCAAGTTGCCTGAATCTGGGTCAGAAGGGAAAGCCACTCTTCTGGGGCAGAGGGAGAATTACCTCCTGCCTAACAGTCTGTATCCACAAGGGCAGTGGTTCTCAACCCTGGTCAGGGCATCAGAATCACTTGGGGAGTTTTAAAAAACACAGATGTTCAGGGCCATCCTAGACCTACTAAATACCTCAGGGGAGGCGTCTGGGAATATGGAGTAAAAGTGCCATAGGTGCCCGCAGTGTGAAGCCAAGGTTGAGGAATACTGCATGAAAGTATCATGTTTTGAACTTCTGGGAAATTACTAGGGTTCCACACAAGGAGACGAGAGCCCTCTTTTTTCCCTAAGTGGCATCTGCTACCACACCAGTCTGTTCCAGATTCCCTGGCTCTCCAAGAGGAGGGAGTGAATCAGGAGGCAACTGCACTCAGCTGCCTAACCTTCCCAGGCCTTTCCAAAGGGTCCCATCCTCATCACCACAGAACTCAATAAAAACAAAACACTTCTTATAGAAATTAGATTGATAATTAACATTTTTGGAGCACTTGTTTTGTGTCAGTTCCTTTACCAACCAAGTAGAAGCCTGTGAGAGAGGCACCACATCATTCCTGTTTGGGGTGCGTTCCTAGAAAATGGTGTTCGTCAGAGATTTACCAACTCATTACAGTACAGTCCTCAAGGACAGGTCTTCCTGACACAGTGATCATTACCTATGATTAACATACGTTGAGGGTTACTGACTGATGTGTCTTCTCAATATTTTCTCATGGTGGATGTGGCTAGGGTGAGTGCATGACCCTGAATTTAACTGAGGCTTATCTCCTCCAGCTGTCAAAACATCTGGCTTGAATTTTTTTTTTAAAGGAAAAATATGGAATGCCTCATGAATTTGCGTGTCATCCCTCGCGTGAGCAGGGACCATGCTAATCTTTGTATCGTTCTACTTTTAGCATATGTGTTGCTGAAGAGAGCACGCTGGCCTGTATTTCGGCCATAAAAATAATTCCATGTTTGCCTATCCTTTGGAAAACAACCAAACCATTTGCTGGGAATCAGAGAGTTGTAAACAAGGGATTGGAGGAGAGTATGCAGGCGCTTTTTGGTGGAGAGCATTAGATTGATCGCAGCTATTTAGCACTATTAACTATACCTGTACTGTGTCCACATTTATCATCATGTAACTGAGGTTCAGAGAACTTCAATAACCTGCCAAACACACAGAGCTAGGATGGAGTAAGGACTGGACTGCAGGTCTGATTCCCAGACCAGTGCTTCTGCCTTAGCTCCATTACAGTGACCCCCACTAGCCCTTCTGAATGGTTATAGTCACTTATGTGCAGATTTATAACGGCTGACAATTCACATACTGTTTTTATCAACCACATGCAAAAATCATGGATTAAGATCCAACAGAATTTTAGGAGAACATATTCATAAAAGTAATGAGGGCTCAGAGGGACTGAGTGACTTGTCTAAGATCAAACAGCTACTAAGAGGTAGAGTCTGTATTTGACCTTAGGTCTGTAAGGCTCCAAAACAGGAACTCTTTTTAACTGGCTAAAGGCATATACATAGTGTGATAAAGAGGAAATCACATGAGATAGGAGTAGAAGCTATGGGTTCCTGTCCCTGTTCTAATCCTTATTAGCTATATCACTTTGGACAAGTCCTGTCTTGTCTTCTGCAAACTGAAAACAATGGTCTCCCACCTACTTTCTGGGAAGTGAAGATTCAAGCGGACATAAAAGCATTCAGAAAATACTCCCCCGCCCCCCGCCAAAAATAGTAATAGAGCCTAGGAACTCAGGCAAATCAGTAAGACCTGGGTTTAAATTTCGACTCTGCCACTAACTGGCTGTGTGACCTTGGACAAGTGATTTTACCCCTCTTACACCTCAGTTTTCTGACAAAATGGGGCTAAATCAAGTACCTTCCCCAAAAGTGACGATTAAATGAGAGCATCCATGTGGACACCTCCATTATGTGCCTGGCACATAATACCCGGTCAGTAAAAGTCATTGAGGGATAAATGGATAAAGAAAATGTGGTATACACATGTATAATGGCATGTATATATATAAGGTAGTGTAATAATGTCCATAATAATGTTATATATTAGATATATAAAATAATGGAATATTATTCGGCCATAATAAAGAATGAAATCTTGCCACTTGAGACAACAGGGATGGACGCTGAGAGCATTATGATACATTAAATAAGTCAGAGAAAGACCAATACTGAATGATCTCACTTCCATGTGTAATCTAAACAACAACAACAACAACAAAAACCAACCTCGTAGACACAGAGAACATATTGGTGCTCAGGTGTGTGTGTGCATGCGTGCTTGTCACATAGGCACCAAATGGGTAAAGGGAGTCAGGTGTGTGCGTGTGTGTGTGTCGCATAGGCACCAAATGGGTGAAGGGAGTCAAAAGGTACTTCCTGTCATAAAACAAGCAAATCATGGGGCCCTAACGTACAGTTTGGCAATTACAGTTAGTAATACTGTACTGTATGTTTGAGAGTTGCTAAGAGAGTAGATCTCGAAAGTTCTCATCAAGAGAAAAAAAATTCTGTATCTATGTATGGTGACAGATACTAACTGGGCTTAATGTGGCAATCATTTCGCAATAAATACAAATATCGAGTCATCATGTTGTACACCTAAATCTAATATAATATTGCATGTCAACTGTACCTCAAAAAAAAAAAGCCACTAGTACCGTCATAATTGTGCCTCTCCGGCCTTCAACTACCTGGAAGGACCGACTTTCTGAGCTACTCAACGCGCCCTGGGCTCAGTTTGGGTCCGGTTATTCCCTGCCTTCTTCCTCTACCCGCTCCCTCCTTTGTCAGACCCCCTTCTTCAAAAGCGCGTCTTAACCCCCTCCAGGAACCCCTGGCCCCTGGCCCCGTTTCGGCGCCGTCTCTTACTCGACGACCTTGGCTGGGTCCCCGTGGTGCCCATAGACCAGCGCCCGGACCCGGGAGGGCTCGGCAGATGCGGAGTAGGGGGCGGCGGCAGACCAGCCGCGGTTCCAAGCGAGGAACAGCTCGCGGCACAGCCGCAACCCGGCTCGCGCCCCCAGCAGCGCGCCGCAGCCCCACATGCTTCCCCCAGACAGCTCAGAGCCCGGCAGCGCGCCTACGTCATCGGCCCGCGTCCGCGCGTCTGCGCCGCGCCTCCCGCCCCGCCCCGCCCCGCCCCGTCGCGTGACCACGCCTCTTGCTCTTTTTTAAAAGGACGTCCCCTTCCGCCGCAGCCCGCGCGGTGGCGCTTCGGAAGACTGCGCGGGGAGGGGCGTGAGATGAGGGTTTGGAAGTACGCGAGGGAGTCGCGGAGACTCCGAGTAGGAGCGTCTGAGACCGGCCTGCATCTCTGTCTACAGTCTGCGATTTGGTGTTTGATTTGGGGGAAGTCATTTACCCTTCCCTGACCTTAGTTTTTTCTTCTCCCCACCGTTTATTGAGCGCTCACTGTGCCAGACCTTTTAAGACATCACCTCATTTATTCCCTGCTATCCTGTAACAGCACAGGGAGGTAAAGTTTACTTCCCTACCACTGAATAGAGTAGATTTAAGTTGATATGGAGGCAAGAGTACTGGGCTTGGATTTAGGTTCAACTCCTAGTCCTGCTGCTTCCTAGCTTGGCCACATTGGGCTGGTGTCTGAAGCTCCCAGGCTCTTTTCTCATGGGTACAGTGGGGGGACAATATACCTCCTTCAAGATTGTGGTGAGGATTGGATGAAACAATAGAATAATGTTGTGGACAGAGAGCACACTGTAAAATGCTAAGTGTGTTCAGATATAAAGGAGGGATCACAAGGAGGAGGGCCCCCTCTCAAAATGCTTACAGTGTAGAAGGGATTTAATAGGACAATGCAAGTGCTTTGTAAGAAGATGTAGCCCAGTAAGACACTAGATCATATTTTTAGTGGAGGTGAGACATGAACATAGCTAAAACCCTAGTTGGTAGAGCAGGACAGAGGGCCCTGTTGGAGTCTGAAGGAGAAAGTTGCTCTGGAAGGAGCCGGGGTGGAGATGGGGGTTCTTGCAGGAGGTGCTGTTGGAGCCTGTCCCACTCAAAATCTTCAGTGTGCATAAACCTGAGGTCCCATCTCAAGCCAACTGAATTAGAATTTGGGGGACAGGTCCAGGAATCTACAATTCCTACAAGCTTTCAAGAATATTCTGATGCAGGTGGCCCAGGAAACAGGCTTAGACAAACACTGAGCCAGGGCTTTGAAGAATAAAGAAGAGTTCCTTTCTCTCTTTATTCTTTCTTTTCTCTCTCCTTTCTCTCTTTTCTCCTTTCTCTTTCTCCTTTCTCTAGATTTTGTTGACCCAAAGCCTGCCAGCTCAAAGCCTTTCCTCTGAGGAGAAGAAAGCAAAGTGCTCTGATGAAAGCTGCAGGTGGTTGGATTTTGGCAAAACTGGCTTTGAGGCTTGGCTCTGCCATTTTCCCAGCCATTTGATTTTGGACAAGTCACTTGGTCTCTCTGGGTCTCCATTTCCTTATCCTGAAAATGAAGGAGATAATGGTATTTGTTTCAAGGCTGTTGTGAAAATCAAGTGAGCTATTATTCACTTGAAGCATTTAGCACAATGCTTGGCACATGAAAGCATTTGATAAATGTTATTAGGTTATTGTGATGATTAAATGAGAAATATCATTTGTAAAACATCCAGACTAGGGTCTGGCTCATACTATGTGCTGAAAAATGTTTATACTTGTTATTATTAGAGAAAGTAGATGTCCCATGATGGGGGAAAGATTCACACACACTTGTATGTGAATGCCCATGTGCATGTGCGCACACACACACACACAATACCCAGTTTTGCTTACCTTCTGTTTTCACAGATCTACTTCTGCTGAAGACTCTCTATGTGACATTGGGCTGTTGACATTACCTTCTCTACCAAATTGGCTCCTCTGAATTCCCTGGACAGCCTGGCTGGAAAGCCTGGAGAATCATCTAGTAGGTCTTCCTCCTGGAGGCTGGACTTAATCCCCCTGTTCATCCCAATAGCCCCCACTTTCAGTCCAGGACATTAACTGTGTCAGCAGCCTTCTTCCTAGCTGAAATCCTCTCCTCTCTCTTTCCCTCCCATTTCCTTCTTTCTCAGGCCTCCAGAATGATTTTTTAAAAATATTTTATTTTTAAGTAAGCTCTACACCTAACGTGGGGCTAGAACTTATAACCTTGAGATCAAGAGTTGCATGCTCTACTGACTAAGCCAGCCAGACACCTCCAGAATGATTTTTTTTTTAAAACAGAAAGATCAGATTTTGTCTTTTCCTTGCTTAAAGTCCTTCTGTGACTCCCCATTACTTAGATCCAGAAGTCACAGTTCTTTGTAGAACACCATGAACTATTGACATATTAAACTTAAAACTGTAAAAAAACAAAACAAAATGAAACTGTGATTCTATACTAACTCTATTATTCTCTTGCATAACTGCCCCATGCTAAAAGTGCATGGAGGAAAAGCACCGTAAAACAAAGAAAATTCTATTCAATGTAATTAAGTTATCTTCTTGCAAGTTAGAAAAAGATGGCTATAGTTTTAATTCAGTGGCAGAACCCCTCAGCTTAGCTTGAGGAGCACCCAGGTTTCCTCAGGGGCATTGTTGGAGAACTACTGGTTGAGGGGTTCAAGTCCAGTTTTCATTACCCTCTGCACTCTGCGTCCTACACTGTTTTTATCTCCTGCTGTAAGACTGTGCGTAGCTCATGATCCAACAGCACCTGATACCCACCTTTCCGAGCAATTCCATGTCTTGTGCCTTCATTCAGGTTGCTTCTGCCTGAAGTGCTCTTCCGGCCTTGCCTACCTGGGAAACTCCAGGTTCAGATGTCATTTCTTTGATGTTGTCTTCCAACTCCCTAGACTGAGTCAACCTTTGCTGCCTTTGTGTTTTCTCTGAATTGGTGTTATGGCCTTTAGGACACAGTCCCTTATTTATTTATGTGTCCACTTCCCCCTCTGGGCAAGAGTGGGTTATGTTTGGCACATCTCCATGACACCAGCACCCAATATGGGGCCTGGCCCAGGGTAGGTGTCATAAATATTCCATGAGTTGAAAGTAATTGAATTTCCTCACGGCCTAGCCCTGTCTGTGGTGCTGTCTCCTTTACCCCTAGATTTGGGCAGGTCAGACCAGGCCACTCAAGGCTTCTAGAAGTCTGTGATCTTTTTCAAGTGAAGCAGAATGTTCTCTGTCCATCTGTCCACCTGTTGCTCGTGTTCTCCTTCTCCCTCCATGACAGTCTCTACCCTGTAGTCTTATCCTGCATGAAGAGCAAGAGGGGGTGTGGAGTCGGCCAGGTCTGGGTTTGAATCCTGGGCCCACCATTTACTAGTTTTGTGGGTAAGTGGACAAGTGCCGCATACTGTCTGAGCCTCAGTGTCCACATACAAGAAAATAGAATCAGTGGTAAACTCCTGTCATGAAGCTCTCACAAGAGTCCTCTGCAAACAGCATCACCCTTGGTTGTTTCTTCTATTCACCAGATTTCTCTCCTTGACTCTCTTGTTCTAGCTGGTCCTTCTTGTCTCTTCCCTCTCCAGCATCTGTCTGTTTCTTCCCCATCACCTTTTTCTGGCTTCTGACTTTCTCCTTGTGATTCTTGCTCTAATTCTCTGCCTCTGGTTCTTGCCTGTCTCCTTGGCCACTTCCCCAGCTCAGCATGTTGCCCATCAGGGCTCATAAGAAAGAGGACCAGAAGCTCAGAAGCCCTCTGCCCTGCCTCCTCCAGGCCCAGGCCAACCTCACTTGTGCCACCCTCGATGAGGAGCCAGCCTGCAGTGGAGGCAGTGCGCAGGGAAGGCCTACATAGACCTTGAACTCCTAGGCTCTGGCTGGTGTCACTGCCATGAGTTAGACCCATCTGCCCCTGGGTCCCTCTGATTCCACAGTCTGTTCTCCACTTGGCTCATCTGAAGATTTTTTTTTAAAGTGATTTTACTCTTCTGTTTAATGCTCCAATAGCTTCTTACTACTCTTAGGGTTTAACCCAAAGCCCCATAGTGCCCTGCACGCCCCGCAGATCCTGCCGGCCTCTCCAGCTGAATCTGGCTCCCCTTCCTCCCCACTCCATTCCAACCACCCTGGCCTGGCTGTTCCTCAAATGCACCAACTCCTGCTTTTGCCCAGGCTGTCCGCTCTGGCCGCAGTGTCCCTCCCCACGGATTTGCTGGCTCCTTCTCTTACTTCAGGTCCCAGCTCAAATAGTACCACATCCCTTACTCAGGAAATCCCTCTCAGATCTCCTTAACTCAGGATCCCCCCTAATTATTTATCACAACATTCCTTACATTTTCTTTAGACTGCACGTCTTGGATTGTGATGACATATTTTGCATGTTTGCTCTTGGTCTTTTCCCTGAGAGTGTAAACCTCGTGAGAGCAAAGACCATCTCTGTCTGTATTCATTCATTTATCCATTAGGTATTTTTTGAGTATCGACTACACATTAGACACCAAGCTCTGGGATGCAAGACAAAATCCTTGCCCTTAGGGAGCCCATGTTCTGGGTGGGTGGGTGAGAAAAATAATATGTCACATGGTAGGTGCTCTGTTTAAAATCGCAATAATCAGGCGCCTGGGTGGCTCAGTTGGTTAAGTGTCTGCCTCCGGCTCAGGTCATGATCCCAGGGTCCTGGGATTGAGTCCGACATCGGGCCCCCTGCTCAGCAGGGAGTCTGCTTCTCCCTCTGCTCATGCTCATTCTCTCTCTCTTGCAAAAATAAATAAAATCTTTAAAAACAAAACAAAACAAAAATAAATAAAACTGCAATAATCTCTTCTCCCCTCACTCTTTCTCCCTCCGTTTCTCTGGTATATCTCTGTCCCAAATACCAGAAGCAGTGGTTTATCACTGTCTCATGTAGCAGAGAAGTTGCTTATATGGCTGTTTATTGTTCTTGTTTTCCCACTGGAATGTAAGCTCTATGAGGGTAAGAATTTTTGTTTTATATTTCCACCTTGGCTTATAGGAATTGTTGAATAAACGAATCACTATCTGATATTTGTTAATTTGCTCCAGATGGGAGGCAGGTCTCAGCCTCCATTCAAGTTAAGCCAGATGGCTTTGCTTCAAATCCTGGTGCCACTACATACTAATGCACAACCTTGGAAAAG